CGGAACATTTTTCGCTTTAAAAACCCTAACCTCTTTGGTCTCTCCAGACCACACTTTTGAGTTTAGTCAACTCTGCCTCCCCCAAATTGCAAACCCTAAGACCCCGAAATAAAACACATTTTATCTTGCTCACTGAGGTTTGCCATTCACTGAGCAACCATTCTAAACATTGGTGAGGAGGGTAAACACTGAAATGTCTTTATTATTTTTAGTGCTGCTTTTGCCAGAATCTATGCTTACAGGAAGCTTTGGTAGATAGATAATCACAATTTGATCTACTCGTATGTATCTGGTGAAAATGCCAATCCAAAATTAAGTGGATTTGAATTCTCAAAGGAAATTTTCAATGTGCTACTTAAAACAAAAACATTAGATACCTGGTTTTTTCACCAGTGATGTCATGTTGAAAGTTACCAACCCCCAGCCAGGAAAAGAAACCACAAAGGAGATGGTCACTGGTAACTGACAGAAAAAAAGCCTGCGAGGGATCACATTTCTGGGTATGTCCACAGCTATTACCTTCATAATCAGAAGGACCTTCATCAGATAATCTCTTATGGAGAAGCCCCTTTTCTTCATGTGACAGGAGATCAGTTGGGATCTGAGAATTGGGAGCGGGGGAAAAGAAGGTGGCCCGTAAAGGTCTGGCCAGTAATTCTCCAGCCATCTGAACAACTGGGGGTGCACAGAATGCGCAGGTCTTATTTTGGTAAAGGAGAAGGGGGATAGCGTCTAGCTAGGGATAGTGGTTTGGTTAAAGGAACCTATTTCTCAGTAAGAGTACCACTGAGTTGTTGAAAGATCATATCAGAAGGTTCAGTGCATAATGGGCTGGTACTTTAAGGTGGGAATATCCGAAAGTCTTGGCATAATGGAGATGGACAGTTTGAAAAGATTTCAATAAGAACAGGTGGGAGATATACATTTTGTATAGAGGAAATCCTATGAGAGGAAGGAGTGGCTTTCTATTTTTTGCTAATCCATTGGCCCAGGAGGTGGTCTTTAATTTAGGGGGGAGTGAGCATAAAACATGGAAAGTTTTTTTTTAATTTATTTTTATTTATTTTTTCGGGGGAGGGGAGGGGCAGAGAGACAGGGAGACACAGAATCAGAAGCAGGCTCCAATCTGTTAGCACAGAGCCTGACGTGGGGCTGGAACCCATGAACCCGTGAAACCATGACCTGTGCTGAAGTCAGACACTTAACCGACTGAGCCCCCCCAACGTGGAAGGTTTTAAGGCAAGAATATCCTTACATGAAAAGTGATGGGAGAGATGTGTTTTGCTGTAACTAATGGAAAAATCTGGGACCAAGGAGAAACTGTATATAGGTAATCTTATGGGGTATTATTATCAATAAAGGACCTGGTAGGACTGTGGTGACAAATCCAACAATCAGAAAGGTTTCCAGAAGTAGCAAGGGATTGCGACATTTGAATTATAGCACTGTTTTCCCAATGAAAAGTGGAAATGAAAGGGAAAAGAAGGAAGCCTCATGAGGACTGGTGTGATGCCGCTGGTGAACATAATACTGGCCTGCTGCTGAGTCTTGTGAGGGGAGGTATCCGAAGATGGGTCTGCTTCCTTTTCCACGAAGGGGTTAGTGTGAGGTCTCCTGTTGGTTTGGTGGTCCAGTCAGATGTTGAAGCCTTTCTAAAATGAAAAACATGAATCCGTGAGTCCATGCCTTTTAATGTAGCAGCACAATGATTGGTCAGTAATCCCTGGTATGGTCCCCTCTTGCGAGGCTGGAGGGAATCTTTATGGAGAGCTTTACAAAAAAACACGTCTCCAGGCCAAAGGCCATGATGTTTGAGGTCTTTATCTCCTAGGAGTGCACTGTGAAGACTGTTCTATCAATTTCTCACTTCTCTGAAGGGGCTATATCAATCCCTTACAACAAGTCATCATCTTACGTTTAAGTAAAAGCTGGGTTCATAGACATCTTGATCTAATCCCATTGTTCTTCCAATAGTATTTCAAGGGTGAGAGTTTCTGTTTCCCATTGGGAGTGGATCTAAGACTCAGTAGTCACCAGGGAAAAGTTTTTGGTCATGGCAAGTGGGGAAAAATCCCTAAGTTTTGCTAGTTGGGTTTTTATAATGCCACTGGTTCACTGTAAAAGGCTGGATGATTGAAGATGGATAGGCACAGTGGAAATGTTGCATAACTGGCTAAAGGTGGCAAATGGCCTGTACTATCTATCTAGTGAAATGGGTCTCTCGATTACTATGAAGTTCCAAGGGTATTTTCCCCAGTTGGGAATAATCTTTTCCAACAGGATTTTTCCTGTTGCTGAAGCTGTAGTTGTGTCAAGGAAAGGCGTCTATCCACTGAGAATGCATACAAACCATTACTAAAATAGATTTCTACCTTTTCGATGGCCATATCTCAAAAGAGCCCAGAGAGTAAAGGAAAATAAGGAAAATGTCTCTTTGAACTATGAAGGGGTTTCCAGGGTTACGTGTAGGGCAAATCCAACATTTTTTATAACATGGGGGGGGGGGGCCGCGCTATTTTTAGAGATGGTTTCCAAAAATATTGTTTTCCCAAAGGGCCATCTTGCCAGTATTCCAATGTAAGTTCATGAATACAATTAAGAATTGGTTCCGGGGGGCACCTGAGATTCAGCACTCCTACTGGGTATTTATCTGAAGGAAATAAAATCACTGTTTTGAAGAGATATTTACAGCCCTATCTTGATAGGAGCATAATTCACAATTGACAAAGCATAGAAACAACCTAATATCCAATGGTAGGGGAATGGATAAAGAAAATGGAAAATGTGATATATATACATACATATACACGCATAATGTAATATTATTCGGTCCTAGAAAAAAAGAAAATCTGATCATTTACAACAACATGGATGAAGTTTGAGGGCATTGCGCTAAGTGAAATAAAATCAAACAGAGAAAGACCAAGATCATATGATCTCTCTTAGAAGGAATCTTTAAAAAAAACCAACCAAACAAAAAAACTAATTCAAAGAAACAGAGTAGACCAGTGATGGGCGGGGCAGGGGAAATGAGTAAAGGTGGTCCAACGGTGCAAACTTCCAATTATAAAATGAGTAAGTTCTGGGGATCTGATGTACTGCATGCTGACTGTAATACACTGTACTGTATACATGAAAGTTGCTGAGAGACCTTAAAAGGTCACAGGACACATGCACAAAAGGTTACTATGTAATGGTGATGGATGTGTTAACCTTAGTGTGGTGATTATTTCATGCGCTATACATATATCAATGATATACGCACATCAAATCATGTGGTACACCTTAACTGTACACCATGTTATATGTCAATTATATCTCAATAAAGCTGGGGAAAAATAGATAGCAATAGCCCTCCTCTTCCTGCTGAGGGAGAGGGAGACACTTTTTACCAATGGAAATTTCCTTTACAAAACAAAGCTCGTGCTGTTTTAGGAGCCTTTCCTATGACTGGTTCTCAATGGCCTTTAGCTTAAAACAGTCCCTATTCCAAAGAGGGATACGTTGGGATGGTATATTCTGGAACCCTTCACCCCCCCCCCCATCAGATGGTCTCTCTGGCCTAGTACTGCATTTTCACCTGACACCTTTATTCTCATAACATGGAATACAAGTGGTTTGCTTAGCCGTCTCAGAAGACATCAACTATTTGCAGTGAGATTTTTGTGAAGCATCTCTTTTTGGATGCCAGATAATTAAGGTTGTAGTAGAAAGATCCTCATTTGCATTAGTGTCCATCCACTGGAGCATTCTAGCAGTACAATCTCTCTTCAAGGTTATACAGTTAAGAGCGCCCAGCTGGCTCAGTCGGTAGAGCATGCGACTCCTAATCTGGGAGGGTTTGAGTTTGAGCCCCACATTGGGTGTAGACATTACTTTTAAAAAATAAAATAATTTTTTAAAAGTTAATGGACTATTTTCTGAGTAGTTTTAGGTTTTTTAGACTGTAAAGTACAGAGTTCACATATAATCCCTTGCTTGGTTCCTCCTTCTAGTTTCTTCTATTACTGACAGCTTGCTGTGTGGTACATGTGCAGTACATTTGTTACAACTGGTAATGAGTCCATAATTCACACTAGAGATCAATATTTGTGCTGCATTTCTGTGGGCTTTCACAAATATATGAGGGTATGTATCCACCATTACATTATCATACAGTAGAATTCAACCACCCTAAAAACATTCCCTGTGCTCCACCTATTCATCCCATCTCCTCATCCCTCCCATGGAATCCCTCGTAACTCTATCTTTTTACTCTACACAGTTTTGGCCTTTTCCTGAATGGCATAGAGTTGGAATCCTATATATGTGTTTTCACTTAGCAACATGCATTTAATATTTCTCCATGGCTTTTTGTAGCTTGATCGCTCATTTCTTTTATTCTACTTACATCCCGTTGTCTGGATGTGGCACAGTTCGTTTATCCATTCACCTATGGATGGACAGCTTGGTGGCTTCCGTGTTTTGGTAATTGACGAATAAAGCCGCTATAAACATTCATGCGCAGGCCTCTGTGCAGATATGTTTTTGCACAATAGTAAGAGTAGGTTTAGTTTTGTATGATAGTTCCAAACTATCTTCTCGGGTGACATTCTACATTGCCACCGGGAGTGAATGCGAGTTCCTGCATTCTGTAACCTCACTGGCATTTGATGCTAATGGCTTATTATGAGGATTTGCTTCCTAATTGATTATACTTCTAAGCCTTGACTTTCAACAGCAGAACAATTAATGTGTTCACATATGAAGAAAAAACTTCTCTCATTTTCTCGTTTTTATTTTCTGTGAGAAATGGCTTTATACCGTGGGTCACGGGCATACTTCATCTTGCTAACACTACCCAACCAGCCCTGCCCCCCACCCAGTACTTAAGTGTCATAAAAATAATCAAAAACCCTAAACTTCTGAATGTCTGAGACTTCAACAAGCAAAAATTCCTCCATCTACTTAATACATAATGCTATTTAAGACTTTCCTGAAAGTATGTTGTACATTTATAGTGGCGGTTGTTGCACAAAAATGAAGACTTCCAAACCTGACCGTAAGTTCAAGACAAGCTGCAAAAAAAGGAATAAAGATTCAAAGACTTTGGAACACAATTCCAGCAACATCAGACCAAGGTAATGGAATTATATAGACTTTGTGGCCTGTCACAGGGAGTTCAGCGGCAGAAAATGATCTTGTCAGACGGCAGGAAGATGTGACCACAAGCAGACTTACTGGCAGTTAAATAAGATTTTTCAAAACACGTATCTTTTTCAGGTCGGGCAAAAGCTCCCTAGTTTCTTCAACTGCCCTGGATGTTGTGGAAACAAAACTGCTGAGAGGAAATTTTCATGATGATTTGAAAAACTGGGTCCATGGTATTTCCTTTGAAAAAGCAAATCCTCAATAATTTTAGTAATTCCGGAAGCTCTGTACACCTCTTTAAGTTTCAACTACTATCTGTAGGTGGACATGGGATCTGAAAGATCCCATTACACTTAAAATCATTATTAGGAAGTCTAAGCTTTAGAATTGATTAAGTCTAAGACATCTGACCACTCGCTTAAATTTTTGGAGTTTGGTAACTCTTCCGTAAGTAGTGAGATGAAAGTACTTATCCTATCTACAATTACATTAGATTTTAAGTTTTTTTTTAAGTTTGCTTATTTACTTTGAGAGAGAGAGGAAGCAAACATAGGTGGGAGGAGCAGAGGAGAGAACCCAAGCAGATTCTGCACTGTCAGCGTAGAGGCCAATGTGAGGCTTGATCCCACAAACTGTGAGATCATGACCTGAGCCAAAATCAAGAGTCAGACGATTAACTGACGGAGCTACCCAGGTGCCTCTCTACATTACGGGGTCCTGATGAGGATCAAAAGTAAGGAAACATTTTTGATAAGTAATCTCCATTTGCACAGGGACAATACTTATCATTATTAGAAAAGAGCTCCGTCATGGATGTTGTGAGACGGACTCTTGGTGCTCCCTTAGGGATCAACTCAGGACCTTGTATTATGTAAATCTGAAGCAACTAGTCTAACTGGCCCATACCAGATAGACTAATTCTCCTTTGCATAGGTTTATCATGAAATCTAGGCTTTCATTATTTTGGAATACTATTTCCCAAGACCTTTGAGAAGAGTGCCTGGGTGGCTCAGTTGGTTAATTGTCTGGATTCTTGGTTTCAGCCCAGGTCATGATCTGTTTGTGGGATCGAGACCCACGTCGGGCTCTGCACTGACACTGTGGAGCCTGCTTGGGATTTTATACCTCTCTGCCCTTTCCCTACTCGCTCACGTTCTCTCTCTAAAGTAGTCATTATGTATTGTTTAAGATGCTCATCCTGGGGCGCCTGGGTGGCTCAGTCAGTTTACATGTCTGACTGTGGCTCAGGTCATGATCCCATGGTTTTTGAGTTTGAGCCTCGCATCTGGCTCTCTACTGTCAGAGGGGAGCCTGCTTTGGATCCTCTGTCCCCCAGCCCCTCCCCCACTCATGCTTGCTCACTCTCTCTCAAAAAAAATAAAAAAAATGCTCATCAAATACCTATACAAGTCCTTTGCACGTAGTGTTATATCACTGAATGCTGATAAATTAAGTCTTAGGTGTCTATTACTATGTGTTCTGGGCTGCATATTCTAAGTATTTAAAGAGTGGCTTATTTATATTATAGGAACATGGACTTGGAGGTTGCTCGTGAATTCCAGGACCTCCACTGCATCCACCGGCAAGAGGGCCATCCCCCCCACCAGCTCTACCAGCACCACCTCTACCTGCAGGAATTCTTCCTCCTCTTCCAGGTCCTTTACCTCTACTAAATGGTCCCAGCACCGGTACCTTTGTTGGGGGATCAGTGACCCATAATCACACCACCTGCTCCAAGCTATGAAATGGAAGTACAAATAAATGTATAAACCCTCACCCCTTGTATTTCTTAATCTTTGAGAGAGAGCGTGCATGAGTGGGGGAGGGGCAGAGGATGCAAAGCAGGCTCTGCACTGTTGCATATTCACCTTATATTAAATGGATTTGGCAAAGTGGCCAAATCCATTTAATAACCTGGTGCGTATGTGTGTGTGTATTCTTTGGGATACTCCATGTATTAGAAATCGTGTCATCTGCAAAAAGATTTTCCAATTTGGATGGCTTTTATTTCATTTTTTTGGCCTAATTTTGCTATAGCTAAAACTTCCAGTAAACTCTTGAAGTGACAATAACCGGCAACCTTCTGTTCCTCATGGGAAGGATTCTAGTCTTTCACTATTGAGTATAATACTGGCTGTGGGCTTTTCACCTGAGGAACTTCCTATTGTACTGAATTGTATAAACGGGTATTTCGTCAAGTGGTTATTTTGCATCAATGGAGATGACCCCGTGGCTTTTCGCCTCCATTCTATTTATGTGTACATTACACTGATGAATTTCCTTACATTCCTGGAGTAAAACTCACTTGTTCCTGGTGTATAATCTTTAAATATGCTTGGATCGTTTGCTAGTATTTTATTGAGGATTTTTATGTGTGCGGTCATACAAGATATTACTCTGTACTTTTCTTGTTTGCCTGGCTCTGGTACCAGAGTCTCAAACAGTGACCTAGGGTGTTATGACAGTTCATCTTACATATCAACACAGCTAAGCCATAGCACCTAGATATCTGTTGAATATCTAGGTCTCAATGTTGAAGTGCAAGTATTTTTAGATGAGATTAACATTTCAATAATTAAAGCAGATTACTATCTACAATACAGGTGGGCTTCATCTAATCAGTTGAAGGCCACAGGAGAAAACCGATGGAAGTCCTGCAAGGAAGAGAGAATTCTAGCCCCACACTTGCTGTAACACTCCATCTGCAATAGGAACTTCCTCATGGATCTCAAGCATGCCAGCCTACCCTGCAGATTGCATGCTTCTCAGCCTCTACTATCACATAAGCCAATTTCATAAAATAAGTCTCTCTTCCTCTTGGCTCCATTTCTCTGGAGAACCCTAATACAGATGCATTCCAAATGTATTAGAAGATTTGGGGATTAGTGTTAATTCTCTTTAAATGGTAAAATTTACCGGTAAAGACCTCTTGTCCTGGAATTGTATTTGACAGGAGATTCTGACTACTTGTTTAAGATACTTAATAGCTACAGGTCTGTTAAGATCATCTGTATCTTCCTGAGTTAATTTTGGTAATGTGTGTTTCTAGTAATTTCACCAGATTAATGGTAGGGTAGGTACAGTTCATAATACAGTCCAGTCACCCGTCTAATTTCTGTAACATAGGCCATAATGTCCTCCTCCCTTACCATTTTTAACCTTTTTTCCATTCAGTCTAGCTAAAGATACAGAACTTTTTGTTTTCTTCATTATCTTCTATTCTGCATTTCATTTATCCCTGCCTTAATTATTTCCTTCTTTCTGTTTGCTTTGTAGTAGTTTGCTGATCTTTTTCTGACTTCTAAGTGAAAGGTTAGGTTGTTGATTTAAGGTGTCCTCTTTTTTAAACTACATGTTTAGGGGCACCTGCGTGGCTCAGTCAGTTAAGCATCTGACTTTGGCTCAGATCTTGGTTCCTGAGTTCAAACCCCACATTGGGTTCTCCACTCGAAGCAGGAGGCCTGAGCCTGCTTAGGATCCCCGTCTCCCTCTCTCTCTGCCCCTCTCCCACTTGTGCATGTGCTCTCCTCTCTCAAAAATAAACACTTTTTAAAAATTTTTTAAAAAGCTACAAATTTCTATAAATATAATTCCCTCTGAGTGCTGCTTTCACTGCAATATATACAATTCATTTCGTTAAGGAGCTCCTGGGTGGCTCAGTCGGTTAAGCATCTGACTCTAGATTTTGGCTCAGGTCATCATCTTGAGGTTCGTGGGTTAGAGCCACGCATTGGCCCCATGCTGGCAGTGTGGGGCCTGCTTGGGATCCTCTCTGCCCCTCCCCAGCTCCTTCTCTCTCCCAAAGTAAATAAATTTTTTTAAGTGAAAAATGCAATGGTTTTTAGTATATCAAGTTGTGTATATAATCAGCAAAATCAATTTTTGAACATTTTCGTTATGACAAAAAAAGAAACCCCCAGACATTACCAGGTTTTCCCATTTCCCACGAACCCAATTTTAGCACAGACAACATGGACATTTCAAGCTGTAAACATTGGCTCATAATGCGCACTATTTTCCTCTGGAAATGGCCCCCAAGCCCCGTCTGAGCCAAACGCTTTTTTCTAGGCACCACTCTAAACACTTAGTAAGCAAGCTAGGAAGAGAAGCAAAAAAAGCCTGCCCCCCCCCCCCCCCCATGGCATATCCTGACCCAACGAGTCGTGTGACCTCAGGGGTCTTCCTCTACAAAGGGTGAGAGATCCTCAACTGACCAGCAGCTCATCTGACAACCCCGTAAATGGGCACCAACTTTCTCCCATCTGGCCGTAAATGGATCCACCACATTGACTTTCTGGTGATGAAGGCACGTTCTCTAGCATGTGGCTGAGTTACAATGTGACCAGCTGACTGCCTCCGGGAGGACACGGACGGACGGTGGGAAACATATTCCGGTCACGCACACTTGAAGTTCCCCCAGGCAGAGACACAGGCACCCTGCCCAGGGTAGTTGTAAGAAATGGAGAGGTTCTTTGCTTTGTTTCAATCACTGGGGGTTTGAGGGTAGAATACAGACATTCTCTCAAGAACAGCTTCTTAGGGGCAGCTGGGAGGCTCAGTTGGTTGAGCATCTGACTCTTGGTTTCGGCTCAGGTCATAATGCAGTTTTGTGGGATTGAGGCCCGCGTCTGGCTCCGCACCAGCAGTGTGGGACCCGCTTGGGATTCTCTGTCTCCCTCTCTCTCTCTCTACCCCTCCCCTACTCACTCTGTCTCTCTCAATAAATAAACTTAAAAGGCTGCTGAACAAACGACCCTCACCAAGGTCATAACTCTGTAGGTGGAGACACTGGGCCACTGTCCCGTGGACCTCACCATCCCCCACCCACAACCATCATGGGGCACACAACGGAAGAGTGACTGCCTGAGACTCCTGGAGGTGAGCCTGAGCAATGGACTTCCCTGTCTTCTAAGCTTAACTTGACCCTGTCAGTTCTTGCTACCACAATGGCCTACTCCCTCTAGGGCTTGCTCCTGAGCTCTTAAGCTAGATGTAGCTGCGCACACGAGAGAGGCAATACCTCAAGGAGAAAGGGGGACATCAGGTCATCATGATACCTACTGCTACAAATCAATGTCCTTGGAAAACGAAGATTCTGCCCCCCAAGACCCATATGGGTTTCCATCCACAAGCACGCAGAGAAAACAGGGTCCCTGTTACCAGAAAATGCAGAGGTCAAACGGAGATGTGGTGATGCACCCACAGATGCATGTATTCATTCCTTGGATGTCTATATGGACATTCCCACTGCAAGCAAGAAACCCAAAAGAAAGAACCTTGACGTACCCCAACAGCCCAGGAGAGCCAACCCCACTTGAAGAGCTTGGATGACTTTTAAGCCTCCTTGGGCCTTTTGTGATTCTGGACAAGAGCCAGCAGCCTGGCAACCCCCATTATCGGTGAGGAAACAACACAGGACAGGATGGATGGAGCCCCGCTCTTTCAGGCCATGGGGGTGTGGCCTCTGCAGCCCCATGTTAAGAACCAAGGAGCTAAAGCACCTACCCCAGGTCATCTGGGCTGTGGATCCTTGCCTTCGGTCCAAAGCAAGTTCGGCCAGTGACGCTCCTAGAGTCTCAGGGCAAAAAGAAACTCAGGACTGGCGTGTCTAGGCCAAGATACCACAGAAACAAGAAAAAAGGGAGGGGACAGCCACCTTGTCAGGGCAGCATTTTGCTGACAGACTAAAGAGCCTCCTGGTTATGTGGTACTAGACCCGGACAAGGAGGAGCAATGCGGTGTACCACAAGTAGGGCTAGGAGTGTGTGCTTACTTTGGTGTCCACGAAAATGAAAATCTGTCTCCCAGGCCCCACAGTATCCCATACAACCCAACTGTCCCATATGACAAAGAGTGTGGCAATCCACTAAGGACGGGAGGGAACAGAAACACAAGTGGCCAGATCAGTACCTTAAGGTGGACGTCATCCCCCAGAGAGAGAGAGTCCGGGTGTACTTTCCTCACATGCCTCAGGGACACCCTGTGCCATGGCCACCTTCCAGTGCGTGGGTGTATGAACTGGGGACTCCCGGGATTTCCCGCACGGCGTATATGTTCTGTGGTGCAGCCACGAGCCTGGGCAGACAGAGGCCACTTTAAATTAGGGACAAATCAGACCATATATGTCAGGACCTGGACCCAAGGTAGGGGGAAAAAGTTGAGCACACAAAAGGTCCCACCCCCATAATGTAATATGGCAGAATTCCAGGTGAGCCACAATGAAACGAAGAGCAGGGAGCTGCTTTCAGCACCCTTACAGGAAAGATGAAAGCAAGGGGTGTGTGGGACTTGCTCCCTGCTGACACCCAAGAGGGAGAGGCAGGCAAAGGGCCTGAACCACCCCAGAGGTTCTTCCAGAAGTGGACTATAGGGACAGTCAGGCCCAGGAAGAAAAGGCTGTGTGCCTGGGAGTATGTCCTGTCCTTGGCCGACATGCTTTGAGGTGTGATCACCTTGTGGGGAGAGGAGGGTCAGGGTCCCTCAGCCCAGCAGCTGTGAATTGTAGGCAGTGTCTTCAGACCTCTTGCTGATTCCCCAGCTGGGGGGCGGGGGGGGGGGGGCATGGGGCTGACACCTGCAGCGCCAGGCCTGAACAAATCCAGGGCCCAGGGCCGTTCCTTCTCAAGCATCTGGGGCAAGGCGGAGTTTAGGGTGTCCGCCCTGCTCTGCTCCCCTCTGCCCGTGCCGGAGGCAGGCCCAGCAGAATGCACGGAGCCCCCGGGAGAAGGCGGGATGGCTAACTGATTCCATTTTAGACTCAGCAAGTAC